TCGTTTTGAACGATTTCTCCAATATCTCGTTAGTCACTACATTTTTCATTCGTGCAGTTACATCTCGAGTCAGATGTGTGATAGCGTTGGATACCCTTTTTTCCATATCACTATACACTTTTAAACTATCTTTCTGCATATTCTGAAGTGCGCGCACGATTATCTCTTCCTGTTGTTTTAAACAATTTCTCTAACGTCTCCTTCGTCACCGTATTATTCATTTGTTGACGTAGATCAGTTACACCTTGTTGAATTTCGTTAGTCTCCAACATTTCTTTCGTCGCTATATTATGCAATTGTTGACGCAGATCAGTTACACCACGCTGAATCTCGTTGGACACTTTCGTCGATAGCGCGCTCACACTTTTCGAGACCTCCTCCACGTTGTTTCGCACCTTTTCCACATCGTTCGAGATATCTTTCTGCGTATCCCGAAGCACGCGTACGATCATATCTTTCCCCGTCGTTTCGAACGATTTCTCCAATGTCGCGTTAGTCACTATATTTTTCATTCGTACAGTTACATCTCGAGTCAGACGTGTGATAGCGTCGGAAACCTTTCTTTCCGTATCGCTACACACTTTTAAACTATTTTTCTGCATATTCTGAAGCGCGCGCACGATTATAACTCGTCCTGTTGTTTTAAACGATTTCTCTAACGTCTCCTTCGTCACCGTTTCTTTCGTCGCTATATTATGTAATTGTTGATGCAGATCAGTTACACCATGCTGAATCATCTCTTTCGTCACCATATTAAGCATTTGTTGACGCAGATCAGTTATATCACGCTGAATCTTGTTGGACACTTTCGTCGATAGCGCGCTCACACTTTTCGAGATCTCTTCCACGTTGTTTCGCACTTTTTCCACATCGTTCGAGATATCTTTCTGCGTATCCCGAAGCGCGCGTACGATCACATCTCTCCCCATCGTTTCGAACGATTTTTCCAATGTCGCGTTAGTCACTACATTTTTCATTCGTGCAGTTACATCTCGAGTCAGACGCTGAATCTCTTCCACGTTTCTTCGCACCTCCTCCATATCGCTCCTTATCATTCCACATGATTCCTCAATCTCGTTTCGCGTATCTCGAAGCGTGCATTCGACGTAGCTTTTATTTACAGGGTCGGTGTCGAACTCCGGCGCGGCTACGTGTTCTATTTTTCGTTTCTTCGCGTCGTAATGATCCGGATTCAAACAGAGCCCATTGTTGTATACGTAATTTCGTAAAGTTTCCATCGACGATCGCGACTTTTCGATTTCATCTTTCCTCATAGGCATACCAAATTTATTCACAGACATCGTATCGAGTGCGAAACTGTCGCGGTTTTCGTAAAAACTATTCAATAATTAAACTCAGTTTCGCGCAGTTCTTCTTTCCATTTCACGACGCAATTATAAAATAGTTTTTTCCAACTCTTTATTCGTCGCCACCTTGAATTCGTTCTTTGAACGAATTCTCCAATATCTCATTAGTCACTACATTTTTCATTTGTGCAGTTACACTTCGATTCAGATACTTAATCTCTTCCACGTTTCTTCGCATTTTCTCCATATCGTTACGCACTTCTTGTACATCTCTCCTTATCATTCTAAACGATTCCTCGATCTCGTTTCGCGTACCTCGAAGCGTGCGTTCGACGTAGCTTTTGTTTACCGCGTCGGTGTCGAACTCCGGTGCGGCCACGTGTTCTATTTTTCGTTCCTTCGCGTCATAATGATCCGGATTCAAACAGAACCCACTGTCGTGTACGTAATTCCGTAACGATTCTATCAACGATCGCGATTTTTCGATTTCATCGCTATCGTCTCTCCTTAGAAGCATACCAAATTTATTCACAGACATCGTATCGAGTTCGCGCGAAAACACAATTTTTATTACAACGATTCAATTTATAATTAATCCAGCTTCATGAAGTTCTTCGATTATAGACAAAATTTCGTTGTCGTGAGCGTTATTATCCGCACGACGAGAAGCATCGAGCAATTGAAGACGATCCACCAACTCGTTGGGATCGTCCTAATGAACGTAATCTATTTCATTGTCAGTCAATCTCACAGCGGATGGTATATTTGTCTTTATACCTGAGCCAATACTCGTGCCACTGACACTCCTTTTATGAGTAACTAAGAGCGGGGCAATAATGTTTTTGTATTTATGTCCCTTGTTACTCTTAATAGGCATTCTAGCGTTATTATCACGTCTGTGAGCGTTCGTCGTCAATAATATGTTTGTACGTTTGTTTATCATTCTCGGTGTAGATAGCGTCGTTTGGAATCTTCTTGAAGATCAGTTCGTATAGACCCGGTGTACCTTTGTATCTCACTCCATCTATGTTTATATTATAGTGTCGTCCGTATCCACGTCAAATTTTTTATTACCCAACATCATGCCGTTTTCATCGAAATAAACACCGTAGACAAGATCGATTTCATTTCTCGCATTACCAATTAAAAGAGTATTCACATATACTTGTCCTAACGGCCCTAATTGACTTTGCAATCTCTGATGACCATGAGGGGTGTTCAACACCTGTCTGACAGATGTTTTAAGCGATGGATTATCAAAAACTTCTTCGTCCTGCGAGTCAAAAGGAGTTATTTGTTATTGTTGTGATTCTATTGGTGTGGAATGAATTATGGACGAATCAGGTATGACGTTTGATCGTTTCTTATTTATTCGTTTGTTCCATGGAAGACGCTGGGGAGTAATTTGTGTTGGAATTGTATCATTATCATCATCGTCGTCATCATTGTCATCATCTTCCTCATCATCGCTGTACTCACGTTTATTCTTTCGCTTACTTTCCATAAACTTAGTTTTAACTGGTTTACCTTCACGTGCAGTGTTTCCAGCGATTTGTTTCAATGGTTCGATAATAGGTTTTAATTGTTTCTCCAGAACGATCTCCTTCTCCATTATACCAGTCTTCAATGCTCTGTGTTTCTTACGAATCGACGCGCGTGTCTTCGCGATCAGTTTTGCTGTTCTCTCCCGTTCGGAGAGACTTTTCATTCCAATGTTATCGTAACGGTAAAGAAGTACTGCTCACGAGTTTTTTTCACAAACACACTATAGATGATTTTTTTCACACTACAGCGAAATCGTTGAATCCTCGTCTGTATCTACCGCGTAATGCGCTATCTTTGTCTATTACCACAAAACTGTATTTGTGTTGCCAACATAAATGGCACAACGTGCAAAAATTCT